ATGTCTTAGATTTATCCAATAAAGCCTTATTTATATTGAAAAGAGAAGTATCTTGTGTTTTGTGCTTACAAGTTAATGTCTTAAACTGCCAATCTTGTTACTGTGCTAATAAATAGTGTTTTCACTATACTTTGGATATTAATATCCATTGCAGAGTTGATGTTATACGGCTCGTTCAATGAATCGCTGGCTGTCTCAGTGATCAGCCGTAAAACAGTGATTCTGTCCAAATTCCCTATAAAATCATAAATGATTCCCTTTGAGCTAAATCTACCTGTTTCCCTTACACTGCTAAAATGATTCTAAATAAGGGAGCGTGTGCCCACATGTTAATTAACATAATACATGCCTAAACATCTACATATACTAAACATCTTTATATAGTCCTAGACTACATGTGATTGACTGCATCAAATAAATTTGTTACTCTAAAAAAGTAAGTATATTCTTTTTTTATATGACAAACATATATAATATAATATAATATAATGTAATGTAATGTAATGTTACTATTCTTACTTATATCATTTTTTTAAAATATCTATTTAATAAAAAATAAGTCAAAATAAATACAAATGACATTATAATATGTAACAATACAATATATAGACATTTCTGTGATTATGTGTATGGGTTTTATCTAAAAAATAATCCTATGTTTTGAAAAATATATTGACAAATCAATTACTGTGTGAAAGCTTTTGCCCACAGGTTTTACGCACATACACTGTTAGTGAATGAGAGCTGTTAACACTGGCGACAGGCACACAAGCATCAGTATATACTGACATGCATGTCTGTATGTGTATGTGTGAGTGCACCTGTCATAATCTCCATTGCACAACGCTCTGACAGGAATGGTGAACGGCTGCCAGACGGGGTTCAGCGTATTCTTTACCACTTCAGTTTTATGGCAGATAGTGAACCTAAGAAACAAAAAAACAAAGAAGTTAAACTCAAACAAAGCAGTATACATTGCATGAATATATTTTATTACAGTTAGAAGTTTGCATATTGTAAGCCTTTACTTTACTAAGAGAATTTTATTGGCTAGAACAATTTGGACATCACAAAAAGAAGACACGCTTTCCTGCCTGCGCATCAGAGTGAGAAAGACAGCTAACTCACGTTCCGTCCTCATTACTTCTGTAGAACACCATGAACGGGTCAGAGCGGCCAAAGAAGTCTTTCTTATCCAGCTTATTGGCACAGAACTGCATTGTTGCACAGTCCTGAGAGGTTGAGAGAAAGAACGAAAGAAACAAAGAACAAGGGGGAAAGGGAAGGAAAATGGAAGGTAAAAGATAGAAATAGCACAGAGAGCAGCTAAATCTAGTGAAATCAGAGGCATGTTGCTTTTTCTTGTGCAGCTTAGATGAATGATGAGATTCTGGACCTTCAGGCACAATTCACCCCCCACCATGTCTATACAGCACAGCCATATACTGTATGTGTACACATATTTTTTAAAGTCATATGCTTCAGACTCACACTCCAATAAAAGCTTTAAAGGGGTCATATGATGCGATTTCAATTTTTCCTTTCTCTTTGGAGTGTTACAAGCTGTTTGTGAATAGATAAGATCCCTAAAGTTGCAAATACCAAAGTCTCAAACCCAAAGAGATATTCTTTATAAAAGTTAAGACTCGTCCACACCCTCCTAAAACGCCTCGTTTAAACACGCCCCCACATGTCTACGTCACTGTGTGTGGGAAGATTTGCATAACGCCGGCCAAATGTTCACGCAAAGAAAGAAGGTGTAACTTTTATTCTCGCTGTAGTATTGTTGCTGCCGCCGCCGCCATGTCGTGGAGACGCTGTGTGTGTCGTTGTGAAAGCGAAACTACTTTGTTTGGCCTTCCAAAAGAGGACACTACACTCTAACTAATAATCAGTGGTTAAGTTTACAACACTGTTCCAGAACAGTTTAACCCATATATTCGTGTGTGTGCAACGCATTTTACGGAGGAGAGTAGCCTACAATGCCGGTTTTCTGACAAATAATGCTGACTCACAGCCTGTAAGTACGTTTTCATATTTAAAG